AGGTTCAGAATCTTAGAATACCAACTGTATGGAAAAAGATGGAGGAGTTTGAAGTCTATTGGTTAGCATTTCAGCTGTATTGAAAAACAAGTTTATTGAAAAACAGGTTTATAACTTGCAGAACAGTATGCTTTAGGCTATTCAGGAGAAAGGCAGCTTCAGCTCAGTGAGGAACATGGCAGCCTACATTTAATCAATGAAACTTTGGTACATAAACATACTCTTGTAGTGTTTTGTAAAACTAAGGTATATTCACACTTGGAAGATGTGGTTACTGTATAAATCTGGGACATAAAATTAAGTGAAAGTTTCCCCAATTTTCTGTTTACCTGTATGTCTTTCTAAAACCTTTGAGGGAAAGAATGATATCTTTTTCACTGTGATGTTCCTAACATTTAATATAATAGCACAGATAGCTAGAGTGACTATATAACTAAATTGGGATGTTTCTGAGAGTTAAAAGGAGCACTTGTACCAGATGCTGGGTCTACAGGTGCCAACTGGGATTCTCTCAGGCAAACTAGGAGATAAGTTTATACTACACATGTATATTCAGTAACTCTTTGAAGGAGAAAGGAGAGATATACAAAGTCTAAAGTCCAGTTGTCAGAGGTAAGGTAAAAAAAATCTTTCTCACCAAACAGTAACAACGAGAGAGAGAGAATATGCAATTTCACTCTAAAAGTTATTTATTTAGAAACGTAGTACATTGTATTAGGTTGGTGCAAAAGCAGTTGTGTTTTTTTCCATTATTTTTAATATATGTGCAGCTTAGTGTACATCTTTGCCATAATGACTTTAATTATATAATATTTGGAGATTGTAGTATACAGTCTTGTAATTTTTAAGAATATCCTGTATCATGTGACCAAGGAGATTTTTCCTGAAACAGTAAATGTCCTACCATTACTAGACATATTATGGTAACTATTAAGTGGGCTTTTTTGTAGGTGCTTCTTTTAACTAGAGCAAGATATGCGAGAAGGAAAGAAAGTGGATCATAAGTGTAGCCCTAAAGATTACTTTTCTCTTTCCTTTCTCTTCTTTTGAATCCCTTGTTCTCACTTAGTTATAAAATCTGGTGCTTGTTTTTGTGCCTTTACTAGATAGGCCAGATTTTACAGCAAAAAATTTGTAATGGGAATAATTTAGGTTTGTTTGCATTAAAATACTGCTTCTTTTGAGTGCAGTGAGTCAACATATCACCAAATGGTTTGGTTTGGGCACATTCTCAGTTGACAACAGATATGTGACTCCCAACCTATCTATATTTATCACATTCAGGATAGACTAGTAGTCTGCTGGAAAAAAACAAAAAGTTACAGAATTGAGAACACTGTTTCTGATATGTGAGCTGAGGGAAATATTTGCTTTAAATTCCACCCATCATCTTTCATTTTCTTACCCCAGCTAAAAGAGTGAAAACTGAAAAACTTTTCAGAAGGGAAAAGATAAGGATATCCATATATAGGGCTTTCTGAAATTTTGTTTCTGCATATATTTTTTGAATTTTTTTGGGGAAAACAGATGGCTTATTTATAAACAGCTGCATAAAAATATGATGGTGTTATATAAAATACAATAAATTTTGGGATTGTCATGTTAATGTATATAATAAAGAAGCTGTTTTAAAGGACAGTATCAACAGTTTTTAATGCAGAGCAATTAGAAGGGAAGACAATATTTCATTTTATATTTCATTGCAAAAATTAAAAGGTATAAAGTTTTACAAATATAAAATGTAGAAAATTTATATTAAATAGATTTTGTACAGAAATATAATAAACTTCCCTTGAAGCTTAAATGGGAAATTTTATAAGAACTTTATTTTTTTTTAAAGAAGAGCATGTCCCTTTTTATAGGTCACATGTAGGTTAGGGAATACTATTTTTGAAGTTAAGACTCTAGATTCATATCTTCATTATATAGTATAAATCACAATTCGAGAGTTTTTTTTAACTTTTAGGTTCAGGGTACATACACAGGTTTGTTATATATATAAACTGTATATCATGGGGGTTTGGTGTACAGATTATTTTATCACCCAGGTAATAAGCATAGTACCAGACAGGTAGGTTTTCTATTGTCTCCTTCCTCTCACCTTCCTTCCTCGAATAGTTCTGGAGTCTGTTGTTCCCTTCTTTGTGTCCATGTCAATTACAGAGTTTTAATGACATTTTAATATCTTCTTAGAAAGAGTCAAGATTCCATGATTCCATGGAATCCTTTGTTTTATTCTGACCATTGGTCTGGGTTTTGTTTGTTTGTTTTTTTTGTTTGTTTTTGTAACTATTCTTAAATTCTTTCATTTTGATTTACAAATCAAAAGGCATGTATTTATTTTGATATTTTAAAAATTTATATTGGGGACTTTTGAATGCTTTTTTGAAGTAACTTGGAATACTACACTGGGCAGATTTCATCAGTTGACTCATGATGCTGCTCTCTTTAGAGACAGAAGTCTCTATAACAGGCCGTACTGTTATCTCATCTGAAAGCATGTCCTGAGCAACCAAAACTTATACTAGTTTTACAAATTATATTTGCATATATAAAATAACATCTAATGTATAACTTTTAATAATACATAAAATAAATTTATATATTTTATGTCTTTGTGTGTGTGTATATATGTGTATGCAGTTATAACATATAAATCCAATCATCAGTGTTGGCTGGGCACGGTAGCTCACGCCTGTAATCCCAGCACTTTGGGAGGCCGAGGTGGGCAGATCACTTGAGGTCAGGAGTTTGAGACCAGCCTGGCCAACATGGCAAAACCTTGTTTCTGCTAAAAATACAAAAATTAGCCATGTGTGCTGGCAGGACCATATTTTCATGATGGATTAGATTTCTTCAGTGGATCCTTAATTAGCCATGTAATTTTACATAGTAATTATTTTTATCAGGCTCAAATGAGAATGGTATTTAATAAACTGGAGCATAGCTGTAGAAAATTGCCTGGGATGTGAATTTCTGTTTTAAAATGAAGAATGCTTTTTAGAAGTTAATAACTATATGCTTTCATTGATATATAGTTGAACACTTATGACTGTTGATATTACATTTCTCTGGTTTCGAAAAAATTGGGACTAATTGGAAAGATTAATCCATCACTTATCCTTCCATCACTAATTGGAAGGAAGAATTAAAAAGCTAAAGGAAAGTTAAACCCAGAAGTTTCCTGGGCTCTTCAGATATATTTTGGGTGTTCACTTTGGTCTGTAACTCTTGAAACTGATGTAAATTGTACCTTTTTGTTTAGAGAGGAAAAGGTAAGACAATGGACAGATAGAATGTGTTTTACTGCAGTAGAATGAACGTGAAGTCAAGAAAAATTATTACTTGAGTATTTTTTTTTTAATCCTGCATGGGTAAAAGTTCACATTAAATGAGGAAGTCAGCTTTGTCATGGAATATAGCACCTCGTCTTTCTTTTTCTTTTTGCCCTGAAGTTCTGTGTAGGATATGTGACATATAAAATATTTGCTTCTAGGCAAATACCTGTTATATTAGTCCATTTTCATGCTGCTGATAAAGACATACCCAATACTGGGAAGAAAAAGAGGTTTAATTGGACTTACCGTTCCACATGGCTGGGGAGGCCCCAGAATCATGGCAGGAGGTGAAAGGTATTTCTTATATGGAAGCGGCAAGAGAAAATGAGGAAGCAAAGGAGAACCCCTGAAGCACCCATCAGATCTCATGAGACTTAGTCACTATCCTGAAAGAGTGGCCCCCATGATTCAATTACCCTACACCCCATCCCTCCCACAACGTGGGAATTCTAGTTGAGATTTCAAGTTGAGATTTGAGTGGGGACACAGCCAAACCATATTATCTATAAAATTCATGTGATCATGAGAGGCAAAGTTTTATTTGAGAAAAATAAGGGAAGACTACTTGTACTGATGGACTATCAAGAATTTAGTACTGTCTCTTGAAATATTAAAAGTTAAAACCTTTAAAAACTGAAAAAGCAAGGCAGATAATATTTTTTGAGATTATTTTCACCAAATAATTGGTTTTAAAAATAGATGTTGCTTTACTCTAGGGGAAAGTTGTGATTATTAAGGGAAAAGTTTTATGACGTTACTGTCATTTCAGTTTTTTAAAAAATGAGCTTGTCACCTGTAATCTCAGTGCTTTGGGCAGCGATGACGAGAGGATTGCTTGAGCCCAGGAGTTGGAGATCAGCCTAGACAGTATAGCAAAACCCAGTTAATATTTAAAAAAAAAAGTTGAGCTCATTGAAATGTATATTAATCTTGGTTTTTTAATTAGTAAAAATGTAATAGTAACTTGCCCTTGAATAGATTGTTAGCACCATCTTGTTTAGATTAGCGCATAGTCAGTAAACTGGCAAGAACAGTTAACTTTTGAAAGAATGAAAAAAAAGTGAAAAGAACATATTCCTCATATTTCAACTGAACTCAATGAATTCTAATAGGATTAGAATCAACAAAAGATATTTTTAATTGCCTACTGTATCCCTACTTTCTGCTTAAACAGGGCATTAATTCTCATTCCTAAATATGCCAATTGCTGTGTCTTAGATGGAAATAAATTAGAACTGGAACAGATACATGTATTTATCTGTATATATAAACAAATTTGAGTCATAATTATTCCATCGTGACAGCTTATAAATGTTATCCCTTAAGGATCTGTACACTTTATGAACATTCAATAAATACAAAGCAGATTTAATATTATTAGAGAAAATGTAGAGTTTAACAGGAAAACATGATTTATCTTGGGTACAATTTGTGACTCAGGAAATGAACTGATAACTTTGAAGGTAGAAAATAGATTATGACAATTTTTTGGTATCCTTGTTTAATAATTAGCAGCAAGTAATTAAAGTATTAACAAAATTATCTATTAAAGTATTATGGAGAAATTAAATATCATTCAATGTATAAATAAAACTACATTGAATATTATGTCCTTGGAGTACTGCATAAAAATGATGATTGTCTCTAACTTTGTTATTTCAGAGTATCTGACTGTCTTCTCTCAGATGATTGCATTTCATGATCCAGAGCTGAGTAATCATCTCAATGAGATTGGCTTCATTCCAGATGTAAGTACTTGGTGCGTTACTAGAACATGTGATTAAAAAAATAATAATAAAGCGTAATTAGTAGCACAAAAGAGTGTATTTTTAAAATTTTTCTTGTCCTAGAAGCCGTATCTGAACAAGTTACTGCTACTAATTATAGCCTTCTGTTAGAAAGTCTGTGGCTACTTTCTATACTCCTACTTTAAGTAAAGAAAATGTCATTTTTCTTAGCATTGTTGATACTATCAAATTGTTATGAGAAACTCATTAGTCATAGTGTTGTATTAAACTATGCTGTGAAGGCTTTTCACTTGGATTTTATGATATTCAAGCCTATTTTTTTTTTTTTTTTGGACACGGAGTTTCGCTCTTGTTACCCAGGCTGGAGTGCAATGGCACGATCTCGGCTCACCGCAACCTCTGCCTCCTGGGTTCAGGCAATTCTCCTGCCTCAGTCCTCTGAGTAGCTGGGATTACAGGCACGCGCTACCATGCCCAACTAATTTTTTGTATTTTTAGTAGAGACAGGGTTCACCATGTTGACCAGGATTGTCTCAATCTCTTGACCTCGTGATCCATCCACCTCGGCCTCCCAAAGTGCTGGGATTACAGGAGCGAACCACTGCACCCGGCCTCAAGCCTAATTTTTAAGATATACAAGATGTATGCTTAAGTGAAAGTAACTTCTATGTTTTACTTAATGCTACCTTAGAACCTTAGATAGATTTTGGTTTTTCTTTCCTCTGTAGTCCACATCAAGCTAAAGGTCAGAATTAAAAATCAAAGGTTGGCCATACGATGACTTAGTCTGTTATTAATTTGTTGTTTGTCACATAGAATCAAGCCATTTTTAAAGGTTGTTCAATAAACATGTATCAAAACCTCACATTGTATCCAACAAATATATACAATTATTATTTATCAGTTAAAAATAATAAATAACAGTGGAAAAGAAAAGAAATTAATAACAAAAGTTACCTTCTTGGTGATGGGGTTGCAGTTGGCAGCATAGGTGCAAGGGAAATTGTTTACTTGTTATATTTGACATTGAAAATTTTTTTTAACAGTGAGTGTATTACTTATTAAAAAGTTAAATTGAAGGCACCTGCCCTCAAGCAATTGTAATTTTTTAGGAGGATGCTTTATCAAAAATTATTGATAAGAAAACAAAATGTTTATGGTACATATTGTTAAAGTAGGAAATGCAATTTATAAAACAATATTGTACTATCTCATTTTTGTAAAATAGAATTTAGTGTATATGCATATATACATAGGAAAACTTGAAAGGCTATACTCTAGAATATTAATTATGACTATATATGTTTGCAGGAGTATGGGTACTAAGGGAGCTTAAGTGCAATTTTTAATTGTTTTCATTTAACATGTTAGTTTTGTAATGTGAAAAAATTTTAAAACTATGTTAGATGATCATGTTTAATACAGTACTATGTATAAAGCAGTTTTTTAAAAACTTTATTCTTACAATGCATGGGAAGAAATACATTTTATATTGAGACCCGGGTGCACAATATGAGCATATTTAATAGAGTCCTATAAAGCAGTTTCTTAAAAACTTTATTCTTACAATGCATAGGAAGAAATACATTTTATATTGAGACCTGGGCACACAAAATTTGAGTGGTGATGTGTAGTGCATGTATATAACTGAAATAAGTGTTATAAAACAGTGTTTTATGCTTCCTACATGTGATGCTTTGTGTCATTCTTGAAAATGTCTTCATTTAATACATTGATTTAATGAACCTAAATTTGAAAAATACTTACATAAAGGATTTTAAAAAATCAATAAAAACTGATTTTTAAAATTAAAAAAATAAAAGTAAAAGGCTGTTAGAGTACATTATCATTATAAATGTGAGGTGTAATACAATAATACTAGATCCAGTCTTAGGGCTAGAGTTGAATAAACTATCAAGGAGCTGATTGCCAAGTTGGTAGTAATGGTGTTAGATTTTTGAGTAAAAAAGGATATCTAAAAAATAGACTAAAAGAAAGGATAATTTATTTCAAAAAGTTTTCTTGAAGACACCTAATTAAATTGTGCTCAGCACTGAACTGAAACAGAAAACATTTATGTAGACAAATGTGTGTGGAAACTGGGTATGGTGGCTCGTGCTTAGAAGGCTGAGGCAGCAGGATTACTTGAAGCTAAGAGTTTGAGACCAGAGCAACATAGCAACACTTCATCTCTTTAAAAAACAATGTGTAGAATTATAAAGACAATCTGATAAAAAAATCCCTGGACATATTCCTGAACACAGATAATATTAAGAAAGGAAACATGCCAGGAAAAATAACTTTGGTTTATCAGAAAATTGAATTCTGAATGATTATGATGTAAGAAACAATGTTGAGCTAAAAATATTGTTAAAACATAATTAATATGAATACATATTAAATGTTTACTGTGTACCAAGCACTGTTCCACCTTCTTTAAATATTATCACTCATCAAATACTACAAGTTGATAAATCGATTTAAACAGTGACTGTTATATATAAACCCAATTTGGGAAGGACTAATAATGTGAAAATAAAGTTCTAAATAATAACATGAAAGGTAAAAGTAGGTGGGAACCAGTTAAAATGTGTCTAATGATTTAGCATTATTTAAAGAAAATGCTCATTTTATTTAGACATTAAGTTAGGGAACATTTCAGATCTGAGATTTGATTTTATCCTCCTTAAAAGCTAATAAGTTAGCCTGTTACTGTTTTCTGGATACTGGAAGAAAACATAAGATTCCTGGGCCAGAGACAAAGGACTTTATCACTGATAGTACGGCAACCAGCATGAGCATTAGCATATTTGTGTTGGTTTCTCTTGCTCTCAAATCCTATGGAGACAACATCAAGGACCTAGATGATGCTTGCATATGTAGTGGATTGCAAGAGAGAAACTGTCAGCTTAGAGAATTATAATTTTTTTTTTAATGGATATGCCTTCCCTTTGTTTGAGAGAGAGCCTTTTTCTTCTAAGGCTATTAGTAAATCTGTCCTTTGTCCAAAGATAGATTCTATTTCTGTTTAACAAGACTGTTTTTTTTTTTTTTTTACAAACATATTTGAAAAGATCGTCCACAGCAAAGGACAGTAATGTCTCTCCTCACAAAAAATTCAGAAGTCTAATAATGCTTGTTAAAATTTTAATTCAACGGCCAGGTGTGGTGGCTCACACCTGTAATCTCAGCACTTTGAGAGGAGGCAGGTGGATCACAAGGTCAAGAGATGAAGATGATCCTGACCAATATGGTGAAACCCCGTCTCTACTAAAAATACAAAAATTAGCTGGGTATGGCTGTGCACACCTGTAGTCCCAGCTACTTGGTAGGCTGAGACAGGAGAATCACTTTTTTTTTTTTTTTTTTTTTTTATTGGATTTTAGGTTTTGGGGTACATGAGCAGAGCGTGCAAGACAGTTGCGTAGGTACACACATGGCAGTGTGCTTTGCTTTCCTTTTCCCCTTCACCCACATTTGGTATTTCTCCCCAGGCTATCCCTCCCCACCTCCCCCTCCCACTGGCCCTCCCCTTTTCCCCCCAATAGACCCCAGTGTTTAGTACTCCCCTTTCTGTGTCCACGTGTTCTCATTTTTCATCACCCGCCTATGAGTGAGAATATGCAGTGTTTCATTTTCTGTTCTTGTGTCAGTTTGCTGAGGATGATGTTCTCCAGATTCATCCATGTCCCTACAAACGACACAAACTCATCATTTCTGATTGCTGCATAATATTCCATGGTGTATATGTGCCACATTTTTCCAATCCAGTCTATTATCAATGGGCATTTGGGTTGATTCCAGGTCTTTGCTATTGTAAACAGTGCTGCAATGAACATTCGTGTACATGTGTCCTTATAGTAGAACGATTTATAGTCCTTTGGATATATACCCAGTAATGGGATTGCTGGGTCAAATGGAATTTCTATTTCTAAGGCCTTGAGGAATCGCCACACCGTCTTCCACAATGGTTGAACTAATTTACACTCCCACCAACAGTGTAAAAGTGTTCCTTTTTCTCCACATCCTCTCCAGCATCTGTTGTCTCCAGATTTTTTAATGATCGCCATTCTAACTGGCGTGAGATGGTATCTCAACGTGGTTTTGATTTGCATCTCTCTGATGACCCTGGAGGCAGAGGTTGCAGTGAGCCAAGTTCATGCCACTGCACTTCAGCCTGGCAACACAGCAAGACTCAGTCTCAAAAAAAAAAAAATTAATTTAATGGTAATCATGAAAAGAACAGAAAGAGAATATATAACTTCTACACCAAACTGATGGAGGGTACATGATAGAACAAAGAAAAGACATTTAATCCTATAAAAACAGAAAGAACATATAAAGAATGTAAGCTAATTAAATGGCTTATTAAAGGAAATTTTCAGATATTTTTGAAAATCTATCTTTATAGTACTTATGAGATAAATATAAAAACTTAAAGATACTGGCCAAAGGAGATTTTTTAAAAGGCATTTATTAACCAAAACAACATTAGTGATATTAATACCAGCTAATAAAAGATAAGAGAATACATAAAACAGACCCGTCCATGTATAGAATTTAGTGGTATATGACAGACATGACTGTACAATCAATTAGAAAAGAAAGTATTATTAATGGTCCTGATTGAATAACTATGTATAGGGCAGTATAAATAAAAGCCAAATTTCATACAGCACATAAAAATAAATTATAGATTTACCAGAAGACCTAAATTGGGAGTGTTACATTTATATTTGTAATCTAGGAAATAATTCTTATTAAGGTTACAGAAAGTATAAAACATAAATTTAAAAAGAGAGGATTGAAATTCAGGAATGGTACAAAAGAGGCTTCTATTGTATTGGTCACATTTTATTTTGGTTTAAAATATTTAAGAGCAAATGTGGCAAAATGTTAATACTTGTTAAATCTGAGTGGAGAGTACATTTGTGTTAAGTGTGCTGCTATGCGGGGTGAGTGAATTATTTAATAATTCAATAATTATGATATAATGTATT